AGACTGAGAAGAAGCCCGAGACCACCTCCTTGGCCGAGAAGCCTACTTTCACCGTGAGTATCTCCGCAGACCGACAAGAGGTGCTGCCGCGCCCTGCTAACTTCATGCTTCCAGCCCACCTCCATCGAGGCTCCTTTCTTGGAGCAGTTCACCGATGACTGGGACTCCCGGTGGACTCCCTCTCACGCTAAGAAGGAGGACTCCAAGTCCGAGGAGGACTGGGCCTATGTTGGTGAATGGTCCGTCGAGGAGCCCACTGTCCTCAAGGGTATGGAGGGTGACAAGGGTCTCGTCGTCAAGAACGTCGCTGCCCACCACGCCATCTCGGCCAAGTTCCCCAAGAAGATCGACAACAAGGACAAGACTTTGGTCGTCCAGTATGAGGTGAAGCCGCAGAGTAAGTGTGACAATCGCTGCGCATGCTCGGTGTTGGGACGCTAACGATAGTCACAGACTCCCTTGTCTGCGGTGGTGCCTACCTGAAGCTTCTCCAGGATAACAAGAAGCTCCACCTCGACGAGTTCTCGAACGCGTCTCCTTACGTGATCATGTTCGGTCCCGACAAGTGTGGTGCTACCAACAAGGTAAGAAGGATCTTGCTAAACGCTGCTTAGTGCAGGCGACTGCAACGGGGACTAACAGATAGTTTCTTAGGTTCACTTCATCTTCCGTCACAAGAACCCCAAGACCGGCGAGTACGAGGAGAAGCACCTTAAGGCCCCTCCTGCCGCCCGTACCTCCAAGGTCACCTCCGTCTACACCCTGGTCGTCAACCCCGACCAGACCTTCCAGATCCTGATTGATGGCGAGTCCGTCAAGGAAGGTTCTCTCCTTGAGGACTTCAACCCCCCTGTCAACCCCGAGAAGGAGATTGACGATCCCAAGGACAAGAAGCCTGCCGACTGGGTTGATGAGGCCAAGATCCCCGACCCTGAGGCTACGAAGCCCGAGGACTGGGACGAGGAGGCTCCCTTCGAGATTGTCGACGAGGAGGCTACCATCCCCGAGGACTGGCTTGAGGACGAGCCCACTAGCATCCCCGACCCCGAGGCCGAGAAGCCCGAGGACTGGGATGATGAGGAGGATGGCGACTGGGTTCCTCCCACTGTTCCCAACCCCAAGTGCCAGGATGCCTCCGGATGTGGTCCTTGGTCTCCCCCCATGAAGAAGAACCCCGACTACAAGGGCAAGTGGTCTGCTCCCTTGATTGACAACCCTGCCTACAAGGGACCCTGGGCTCCCCGCAAGATCGCCAACCCTGCCTACTTCGAGGACAAGACCCCCTCCAACTTTGAGCCCATGGGCGCTGTAAGTGTACCTGTCCATTGTAAGGCTTAGGCTTTGAGTGACTAATGATGATGCAGATTGGTTTCGAGATCTGGACCATGCAGAACGACATCCTGTTCGACAACATCTACATTGGCCACTCCGCCGAGGATGCTGAGAAGCTGCGCCAGGAGACCTTCGATGTCAAGCACCCCGTTGAGCTGGCTGAGGAGGAGGCCAACAAGCCCAAGCCTGAAGAGAAGGCCGCCGAGCCCAGCGTTAGCTTCAAGGAGGACCCCGTGGGTCACATCAAGGAGAAGGTCGACAACTTTGTCCGCCTCTCTAAGCAGGACCCCATCAACGCCGTGAAGCAGGTTCCTGACGTTGCCGGTGGTCTTGCCGCTGTTCTCGTCACCATGATCCTCGTCATCGTCGGAGCCGTTGGCGCCAGCACCCCGGCTCCTGCTCCCGCCAAGAAGGGCAAGGAGGCTGCTGGTGCTACCAAGGAGAAGACCGGTGCGGCCACCAGCTCCTCCGCGGACACTGGCAAGGGTGGTGCTACCAAGCGCACTACCCGCTCTTCTGCCGAGTAAACCGGTGCAGCTATCAGTGGAACAGCACGCAGGGAAGAAAGGAGAGATAAAAGGCGGAAAAGTCCAAAACAAACAAACAAACCAGGGATATCCTAACTACATTGTGTTTTTATTTTATACCTCTGTTGCAGCGTTCAATCAATGATTCATTCTGATTCCATGGTGGAAAGGCTAGTGGGGCATCAGCTACCGCCTATACAAGGAAGAGGATAAGCAGACCTCAGTTGGGGGGTTTCTTGGGAGGAGGTTAATGCAAGTGAAATGTGTAAAAGTAGCCAAGCTGCAGAATTCTACTGTTGGTTTCTCTAGTTCACGGAATGATCGGGTAGTTCTTGTAACTTTTCCAGCGGTGTCACAATTTTGTGACCGATCGTCTTGCGGTCCGAGGTTCTATACACCGTCATCGGAGAAGGGCCGACGATACCCGCCATTTACTTACACAGGAGCTTCCATCCCCGAAAAGATTTGATGAAGGTATCGCAATTTCCTTGAAGGGCGAATGTAGCCATACTGGGACTATCTAGAAATAGCTTATAGTAGTCGGCAGTCGATGCTCTCTCCAGGCAAGTGATCTAAAAAGCTGCGAAATTACCCCATAAAATGGCTGGATCGGGCAGGCAGTTCCGGGTGACAATGTGATTGGCTGGAGGCGCCGAGCGTTATCAGAACCTCGGCGGAATGCACAACAATACGGGGAAAGTACCAGACCCAGTATGAACCTGGTACCTGAACGGCCTCCACCGTATTTATCTACTTTGCCTCCCTTCCTGCTGTCCTCACCTTCTCCCCCTTGGATTATTTCCCTTGCTCTTGCCCGTGATTTGAAATTCTTCCTCAAACCATTGTCCTTCTGACCCCGATCATTCATCTCTCACATATCTTATCTTCCATCTTTCAATCATGGCCGCCCGTCGGTCTATTGTCCGTTCCATCCCCGCTCTCCGCGCCGCATCTCCCCGCACGGCCGTGGCCACCTCCAGATCTGTAGCTGCAGCTTCGGCCTCGCGGCGCCTTTCTACTGTTATAATGCCCTCATCATCCTCGACATCTTCTCCTGCAACATCCAAGCTCTCCTCATCCTCACCTGCCACCATGTCAGCAACACGTCGACTCCACGCCACTGCCCAGCAGTTCACCCCCGCAACTACCTCCGCGGCTACTACCGCCACCGAGTACCCGACGGACCATAGCCCCATCGCCAACCCCATCGACACCGCCAATTTCCTGGACAACCAGTTTGTTGCTTCCAAGGCTACCACCTGGATCGACCTGCACGATCCTGCCACCAACAACCTCGTTACTCGCGTGCCGCAAAGCACCGATGAGGAACTCCGTGCCGCCGTCGAGTCGGCCGAGAAGGCCTTCCCAGCCTGGCGCGCTACCAGCGTTATTGCCAAGCAGCAGATCATGTTCAAGTTCGTGAGCTTGATCCGTGCCAACTGGGACCGACTTGCTGCATCCATCACCCTCGAGCAGGGCAAGACCTTTGCCGATGCCAAGGGTGATGTTCTCCGCGGCCTTCAAGTCGCCGAAACAGCATGTGGTATTACCACCCAGCTCACGGGCGAGGTGCTCGAAGTGGCCAAGGATATGGAGACCAGGAGCTACAGAGAGCCCCTGGGTGTGGTTGCTGCCATTTGTCCTTTCAGTAAGTGATCCTGCAGTCATCCTGCAAGCTAGGTGACATTTTCCGACGCTAACCGCTCCCCCTCCCCTTCTCGGCAGACTTCCCCGCAATGATCCCCCTGTGGTGCATCCCCATCGCTACCGTGACGGGCAACTGTCTCATCCTCAAGCCATCTGAGCGGGACCCCGGAGCTGCAATGATCCTGGCCGAGCTGGCCCGGGAAGCAGGCTTCCCTCCTGGCGTCATCAACATTGTTCACGGCTCCGCCAAGACCGTCGACTTCATCCTCGACGAACCCGCCATCAAGGCCATCAGCTTCGTCGGTAGCAACCGCGCCGGAGAGTACATCTACACGCGCGGCTCTGCCAATGGTAAGCGTGTCCAGGCCAACTTGGGCGCCAAGAACCATGCCGCCGTAGTCCCAGACTGCAACAAGAACCAGACCCTGAACGCTCTCGTCGGAGCGGCCTTCGGTGCTGCTGGCCAACGGTGCATGGCCCTGAGCACAGTGGTCATGGTCGGCGAGACCCAGGAATGGCTTCCTGAAATGGCCGAACGGGCCAAGGCACTGCACGTCAACGGAGGCTTCGAAGAAGGCGCCGACCTCGGCCCTGTCATCAGCCCCGAAAGCAAGAAGCGCATCGAAGACCTGATCGCCAGCGCCGAAGAAGAAGGTGCGACCATCCTCCTCGATGGCAGAGGCTACAAGCCAGAGAAGTACCCCAACGGCAACTTTGTAGGCGCCCCCCCCAATCTATTTAACTATATCTTTCTTTAACTAACACGAACCCCACAGGTCGGCCCCACCATCATAACCAACGTAACCCCCGAAATGAAATGCTACAAGGAAGAAATCTTCGGCCCCGTCCTCGTCTGCCTGTCCGTGCCCACACTAGACGATGCCATCGAGCTCATCAACAAGAACGAGTACGGAAACGGAGCTGCCATCTTCACCTGCTCCGGATCTACTGCTTCCCGCTTCCAGAAGGACATTGAGGCCGGCCAGGTTGGCGTGAATGTGCCCATCCCTGTGCCGTTGCCCATGTTCTCTTTCACCGGTAACAAGAAGAGTATTGCTGGTGGTGGTGCTAATACTTTCTATGGTAAGCCCGGGTTGCAGTTCTATACGCAGCAGAAGACGGTGACTAGTTTGTGGAGGAGTGAGGATGCTGTTAGCACTAAGGCTCATACCGTTATGCCCACTCATTCGTGAGGGGGGGTTTTGTTTGTCAGTTGGTTGGACAGGAGATTTATGATGTTTAGGTTGCATCGGACATGATCGTTTTCTATTATAAAATACCATTCAGTTTATGATTTCGGGTTTCTGGCTGTATGGCATCGTTTTAGTCAATCGCATAGTCCAATTTGTCTCTGCGTTGTGTGGATGTGGTCGATATTTTAACCAAAACGTGCTGTCTGCATGTGATCTAATATGATCTTCTACGCTTTGTGCTACTATTCCAGTTTGGATACTTCGCGAAATACATCAAGATATTGAAACCTGTTCTATAGGGAACATAATGATATTTTATTGTGTGGGGCATCCCTAGTCAGAACTAGTGCAGACAGCATATCTGCAGTCACAGCTTGCAATAGAGCCCCGCCTCCAGGGGGTTAGTGTTAGGGCAGTCACTACCCTGTCTGCCATGCATTCTATTAATAAGGTATGACAGCTTCCGAGCAAGAGCATCTCACGTAGGATGCCTCTACTCAGTCCGTGGCTTTACGAAGCTGTAGACCAGCCGGGCCAGCTTGTAGGTTTCGCCCTTGACGACAGCAACACGGCGAGTGTAATAGCGCTTGCCGTCAATGATCTCGAAACCCCAAACCTATTCATCTTGCATCAGAACATGTCAAAGAACGGGAATCATGAAGAAAAAACGAACCTGTTCGGCAGTCCAGCCGCTGTCCAGGTTCTCCACAAAGCTGAGATACCAGAGCCCCTCTCCCTCGCCAAACTCTTCACCGATTTCCTCAACAACAAAGCCCTCGGATGCACTTCCGTCGGCTAGAATCTCCCCTCTAAGGAATTTGTAGACCAGGGGTTCGTCGATCTTGGTCTCGAATTCTGTATAAGGACGCACCTTTCCGTCCTCGCCTTTAGATCCCCGGAAGAACCGCGACTGACCTTTGAGATGGCCAAAGATGTGGTCGTCGTGCTCTCGAACCTTGTTGTCACTGATACGTCTCTCGGTTGTACCTTTGATGCCACCAGTGACCGTCTGGTCGATGTCGATGTGCCATACAGACGGATCTGCGGCATCGGGATACTCATTGATGGAGAGAGTGACTGTTGCGACGCCGAGAGCTTTACGCATAAGCCAGCTCATTCCTTGCTATTCCATCGACGGCAGTATGTAAGCAAGAGAGGTATTGCCTTGAGTTGTATACATGATCGACTTGTAGAGTCCACAAGGGTGGGGTGTGAGACTTACCAGCTCGAGAATGGGCTCTGAAGGGTTGGAGAGAGTTTTGTCCTAGAATCAATAATGTCAGTATATATCTTATGAAATCAAGGCAAAGTATCAGTGTACCATTGTCCACTCTCCATTGAGGGTCTTGAGGTTGCTGTCTGCGGGGGCAGCCATGGTGATGGTACGATGAGGGGTGATAGTGATAAGATACGGAAATTGAAAGTAGGCGGGTCACAGGTAAGAATGGGTGATGGGGATGATGATCAGGACGACAATTGGTCTGATTGACAGTGGTCGTACGAGAATGAGCTGGGGGAGTGGAAGAGGAACTTTAGTGGACGTGGACGGAGCAGCGCTGACAATTTGACTACTTATATGCTGCAGGAGTAACTACTAGATGGGGGCTTCATGTGATGGGCTCCTTCCATTTCTATCGCCGGACTGTGACTTCCGCCGAGGCATCTGACACGTGCCACCGCCTATTTCATGTTGATTTGGCGACTGGCATTTCTTGAGTAGTACTAGTAGTACTACTAGTAGTAGCAGAAGGTGCGCAATGGTTCGCCGTGGTAGATGGTGTGATGGATCAACCATTCGGCTGCGGACTATTTATTTCCAAGCTGTAAATAATGGCCCGGAGTATTTGTTGACCGACTGGCACGTCTCAGTAATTACTACATGTAGTAATCTCCTTCTCGAATAACATCATACTCAGTTTCAGCTAGCTGTACCCATACTATATTACCATTTGATCCAATCCAGCAACTATGTCCTTGGTCACGACAGGTAAACACCCTGAAACACTCATGGTCAGGTACCCGTCCTTTTGAATACAGCTGTTCATGCCTCAGGCCACAACAGATGATGCCCCTTTCACGTGCCCGCCCGCGGAGGAGCCCCAAATCCACCCAGCATCAATCACTCTTTAAGTTCCACCTGCTGTGCTCTTGTAAATAAACCCTGCCTGTCCTTGTCTCCAGTCCGGCCATTATCTTGCCATTACAAAAGCAATTGGCCATGTCCTTCAATAGGAAGTATGCTGGTCTTCCCGACCTGGTACGTTACGCCCATCATTCCTCCCTCCTACCCCATCTCTATTTAACCCGTCTACTAACATCGTTTGTTTGGGCCAGGATCTCGCTCCCGATATCTACGAGACCCCCGATCTGACCGACGAAGCATCCACCGTTCCGGTTAGCTACCCCGCCTGACGCCTGAGCTGGCCTTTGCAAAAGAATCCGACTGCTCATACTATATACCATAGACTACAACTATCCGCACCGCATCCAATGCAGACGACGATGCCGGCTCCAATTCCGACATCGACCGCCAGGGAATCAACGCAGATGAAGCACGCGCCCACTTCCTAGGAGCCACAGTCGACGCGCGCGATGTCAACTTCTCCGACAGCATCGCGATGAAGCGAAAGGCGTACAAGAACAAGAACCGTCGCCGGCGCAGGAACGAGAACGGTCTAGAAGAGCCCGAAGACATCAGCGACAGCGAAGATGAAAGCCTCGAGAGGAAGCTCGCCCGCCTCCGCAGGGAAGTAGAAGAACTCAAAGACGAGATGGCCGCTCGACAGACCGAAACCGAACCAGAAGCCGCAGAAGGAAAGGAGCCCACGGACGACGGAGTCCTCGAATTAAGCCGCGCCCTGGACAACCTCTATACCTCCCGAACCGACAACACAGGATCACACTCCGCAGCTACACTTCTAGCACAAAAGATCGCAACCAAACCCACATCCCAAACCGCTGCACCCAGCACTCAAAACGCAGACGCCACACAACAACCCGAACCAACAGCCCCCGCATCCTCCGGCGTCCTCGCAAACGCCGCAGCATTCGACGGCCGTCTCGCCCTCATCGAAGCCGCCATGGGCATCTCCAGCTCCTCCAACCCCTTCGTCAGCGACGGAATCTCCGAACCTGCACTCCAGCCCGTCCTCCCAGCCGTCGACCACCTCACATCCCGCCTCACCACCCTCATGAACATCCTCGTCGGCCCGAACCCCGTCTCCGCCGTGCCAACCATGGGCTCCGCACCCCCCTCCACAACAGTCACCACCCCGCATCTCGAGACCCTCTCCACCCGAGTCCGCAAACTCACCGCAGACACAGAAGCCCTTGCCTCCGCGCGCAAACGCGCCGTGGACGCCGCCAAGGCAGCTCAGAACGCACGCATCGCATCCGCCGCCATCGAGCCCTCAGACATGTCCGTCTCCTCGTCCTCCGCTACGGAGGTCGATCCGGCTGCTACCCAGCGCGATGAACAAGCCACTAAGATTCAGGCACTCTACGCCACTCTCCCCACGATCCAATCCCTCCACCCCATCCTTCCCAGCGTGCTAGAGCGACTCCGCTCCCTCCGTGCCATTCATGCAGGTGCTGCGCAGGCCTCTGAGTCACTCGATACACTGGAGAAGCGACAGGCAGACATGGCAAGAGAGATCGAGCAGTGGCGCGAGGGTCTGCAGGTAGTCGAGGAAAAGATGGGACAGGGCGAAGCAGCGATGAAGAGCAATATCGAGCTTGTGGAACCTTGGGTCCGGGATTTGGAGGCTAGATTGGATCGTTTGGAGGGGCAAGGCGCATGATTGGGGAAGTTTGTGAAATAGTATGAACATATAACTACTAAATTTCTTGTAACTGTAGCTGGTCGATAGTAGTACTGGGTACTCATATACCAATTTTTTGTTTAAGCGGACCACAACAACCATTAGTACCAATCATTTACACGCAATAGCGTATGCCAGAATGGGAATCTAAAAGACTCAACGCGGGTCCGATAGTACGTACGTAGTTTCTTTTCCATTTTCTATTTTTTTTTCTCCTATATTACGGGTTAATAATGCAGGCGGTCTCTACTGAGCCCATGACGAATGATGTGTCTTATCACAGTGAGATATGGTATGATTCTATGCTCTGGTCATGTAGCTTGAACAGCAATTCATGAACATACTTCAGCTACTGATGATGACTGAATCCGCACAATGGGCATGCTGATAGTAGTAGCCATAATAGAAACGAGATACCGAAGTATTATGGTCTTCGTGATACGAAACGAAAGCGATACTACTCGCTATATAACTGTATCCGGGTCGCGCTCTACAGAGGGAGTACAACATAATCGCAGTATTTGTATTATACCTAAAGAAAATGAATTTCGAGTCAGTAGAACAATACTATGTGAAAGCAATCTCGAGTCCTCCTATGATATAAACTCTTTACCGGAAATCCCAATCCCCTTGGGGATCCCATTTTTCTTTCATGCAATTCAACCACTCCACAACCGGGACTTCTCGGCCCCCAACCAGATACCCATCATCTGCAACAGTAGCATCCATAAGGACTCTGCGCCGAAATGCGCGAACATGTGCCTTCGCATCCCAGGGTGGGATTCGCACATAATCATGCTCGATGTGGCAGAGAGACATTTTGAGCACCCCGTGTTGGAACCGATGGAAACACGACTCACATAGGGCGAAATCATGGCAAAACTTGCATGCATACATGCTCCTGCTCGTGTCTAGGTAGCAGTCACACGCATCACACAAATAGTATTGGTGAGCATCTTTGAGTGATTTAGCATATTGGTTCATGGATTCAAGAAGTGCCTCATAAGACTTCATTTTGGCTGCGTCATCATCACTCCAGAGGGTCTCGTTCATCAACTTGCGTTGACTTAGCCGCAAGAATTCCACAAGTTCTATGACCTTGTACCAAGCGCTGGTCGGTTCGTTGCAGACTTCTTGGAAGTACTCCCTGAGCTCGGCAGCTTCCAGTGTTGTAGTTTTCTCATCAGACTGTAGCCACTCTTTCAGAATTTCGGCGTCTAAGACACGACGAGCTAAAAGCGAATAGGCATTAAGGGCATTGACTCGGTCACCGGTATGAAGGAATATTAGAAACAGAAGGCAAAAACCGTCCATGTCATTACCAGTTGTGTCATCAGATAGTAAGCCAAATGCCTCTCTGATGTTTGCCTGGAAGAGCGCTTCGGCATCCGGTTGTTTTCCACGCCGGATCAAGTCTGCCGCCAAGTATGTCTTCGCAGCAGACATGCCATGAACAATACCCCGTTGGTTCTGGTATACTTCCTCCAATTTCCGAGAATATGTTTCAGCGTTATCAGGGTCTTTCAATGTCTGTGTGAAGTAATGACAGCCTAACTGCCGCCCGACTCTGTCCAGTAGAATTGCACCAGCCGACTGGTACTTGAGTTCCTCCATGATGGTATCAGCGCATTCTGTCCACGATTTGACCGCCTGATCAGCGTGATAAGGGTCATCAGAATAGCATGCAAGTGCCATCCCTTTATGCAAAAGTAAGGTAGTCCATGTTTTGACCCGGTTCTGTGCTTTTGCATTTTCGGTTGCTGTCTGCATGTTTTCCAGTAAGGAAGCGAAGTTATCGGCAGAGGAGGAGCATATAGAGCTAATGATGTAGGGTAGGTTCATCATCTGAGTGTCGTCGTAGTCACTATCTTCGATGGCCATCTGGATCACTAGACCCAGATGCCCCATGGGCCCTGAAGCCGTTCTGGGCTTCAGTGTGTCGAGAACCAGGTCGCTCAGCTCCTCTCTGCAGTTGCGAGACCACAAACTCTTGATTAGCGCATACCTGGCGTTGATATTGCTGGCGCTCAGACTTAGAGCTTGCTTGAGGTACTGCAAAGCTTGGTCCTCGTCCCCGGTCAGTGACGCTAGACGAACCAAGACTTTCCCTTGTCGTTCCTGGTCAATGTCCCCCATCCGCTCCAGTAGCTTACTGGTCTTGGGTTTGGAAATGTCAGCTACCTTTCAATGAAGGAGGCAAGAACACCTTTGGAAAAGCTTACCTCCCGATATTTCTTAAAAGCTTTCTTGTGACTATCGGCATACTCATATGTTTCGGCTAGCCGTTGGACCCAAACATCTTGTTCGCGCATCCGGCTTGGTCCCAGTACCCTCTCGCACCATTTTTCAGCCTTTGTAACGTCATCATCTTTGATGCTATCATTAGATTCGAAACTATGGTCATCTTCTTCGGAGCCAAAGTCCGAATTTTGGCTGGCATAATCGAGCTCTGCATCCTACTACAAGTCAGCTCAAGGCTGAAATCATCTCGAATGAGAGAAATCATAACAGACCATGTTGAGAAAAGCCCTGAGCCATTCAAAAGAGGCTGTGGTGGAACTGGGCGACCGGTCCTGAAGCCATTTTTGACCAGCCAACCTCGCTAGTGGCTCAAAGAGCTTCTGGTTTCGCTTCGGGTCGTTCCAGACCTCTCTGATCTTATCCCGAATGATCGGATGTTTGATTGCAGCATCGTCCGACAGCCATTTCCAGAATGCATCTATGGCATCTGGGG